CGGGGCCAGGGCCTATCCTCATTGCCGGAGCCTGTCGGGAGGAGGAGCAGGAGGGGGCCCGCCGTCCCGCAGCCGTAGATTTTCTGCAGGCATGCGTGGGTCTCGGCCCAACCCTGCAATAGTTCGGGGAAAATCAGGAGTTGTGGCCGCCCGCGGGGGCAGGACAGTAGCGGATGATTGGCCCTGTGATTGGGTAACCCTGGAGACCTGCGGCCCCTCCCCCAATATTCCGATCCCGCCTCCTTGCCTCACTCCTTCCCCAGAGCGGGGATCCCCTCAAGTTGTCTGGGGTCTCCCAGTTGAGCAAGTCATTCCCTTAAACTCCGAAGGAGAGGGTCAGAAATAGAAGGATAGTAAGGAGAGGGGAATCCTAAAAATGATTAAATGACTGGGTGTCTGGAAGGCCTGCCAGACTTTAAAATTAAGGCCCAAAAGTAGAGGGGGTAGTTTCCCTCCCAAAATGAGTGAATGCCCACCTCAACAGGCATGGTATTCCACGTAGAGAAGCTGAAGCACTAAAGATTTAGGATGCTGGGATGAGGCAGGCCCAGGTCATCCTCTAGAAAATAAACATGAGAGGCTACAAGAGGACAAAGTTCATGGAGAGAACTACCCCTAAACCAGAACTAGGAACTGCGGGCAGATGTTCCGCGTTCCCCCACCCCCACGCTGTGGTCAACAAATAGCTAAAACTTATAGAGCACCTACTGTGTGCCAGGCACTGTGTGGATGCTGAAAGGTAGCTAGTCCAGCTGATGACTCCTTGCTCGCCCTGACCCCATCAAAGAAACTCCATGCAGGGATGAAGCGCCTCCCTTCTAGTCACTGCCATCTCTAGTGAACCCCAAATCTCACTAGTAATAAAGCTGATTTAAAGCATTAAATTTTTTTGTGATGGGTTGTGGAGTGGAATGGGAAATAATGGAGCTTCTGCATAGTGTTGGGGATTTAGTGCCCCAGGCTCAACATTTGGATCGGAACTTTAAATACAGTTTAAGAGCAAGAGTAAGTACAGTCCCATGTTCATTTTGGATGTAATCTGAAAGCAAGAATTTCTAGTAGCCCAAGGAGAATACATACATACTAGGCCATGTACACCCCCTGTCCCTCACCAAGTGCATTTAGTTATACCTGCTTAGGAGATTCCTAAGGCCTCAAGTAGAGGAAGATGGAGAGAGAACATCTTAAAGGAACCAACCACCTTTCAGCAACATGATTACACCTCGTTGATACTGATAAGCCTGAGATGTGGAGGCCTGAGAAATTTTGAAAACTAATAATTACCATTTATTGAACATTCACTATGGGTCAAGTGCTGTATCACAATCTTCACATCAATATATAAGGTAGGTGCTATGAAAGCCCCATTTTACTCTCAAAATCTGAGGCACAAAAGATTTTGTTTATCCACAATTGCAAGGTATTAAGTGGCATATCCAGATCTCTTTATCACATTTCATGGTCCCATCCACTCAGCTGTGGCCAGGTAGCCATTTAAAGATCCCAAAGGTCTACCCTGTTCCCTCCTCGATATCATCCAGTCCAACATCAATCGAAGGCCAAGCCAGGAAAGTTGTCCTCTCTCCATTTCTAGATCCCTCATTCATGACCTAACATTTTCTCCTGCCCCTTATCTGCATTAAGCTGCAAATTGCCAGAATGAAACCTGTTTCTATTTTTCTCACATTTGATGCACTTTTAGGGGAGGGGGCGAGGGGTGAGGGTACCAAGGATTGAACCCAGGGGCACTTAACCACTGAACCATACACCCAGCCCTTTATTTATTTGAGACAGGGTCTTGCTAAGTTGCTTAGGGCCTCACTGAGTTGCTGAGGCTGGCCTCAAACTTGTGATCCTCCTGCCTTGCTAGGATTATAGGCATGAGCCACTGCACCCTTAACCCTTAAGAGCTAAACATCTAGTGGGCAGGAATAATTATTCAATCCTAAATTCTTTTAAAAAATATTTTTAGTTGTAGATGGACACAATATCTTTAGTTTTTTATGTGGTGCTGGGTATCGAACCTCACAAATACTAGGCAAGTGCTCTACCACTGAGCTACAATCCCAGCCCTCAGCCCATAATTCTTGAGTAACTATTGCATGTGGGAACCAGTACTAGGGATACATGTGTACACACACACACACACACACACACACACACACACTGCTCTGAGTGCTCTGCTTTCCACTGGAACCATGTGCCTCCTAATCCCAATAAGTCTGAGGGGAGTTGGGAAGGGCCAAATCCTAGGTCTGTTTTAGGAAGGAAAAGGACCTGGTTTGGGGGAGGGGGATCCTGAAGAGTGAAACCACACTTCCTGTATAGCTAGTTCCTGTGTTGACAGAAAGAGCTGGGGGGGGGGGGGCAGTGAAGGGAGCTAAATTGGGGGTTGGGAGGCTACTGAGGCTCTGGAGAGAAGACCAAAGTCTCCCTCTCCACCCCAGAAACGTCTCCACTCCTGCAGCTGGAGGAGTTGTTCCCAGTCTTTATGCTCCCCTGGGGAGAGGGGTCAAACAAACTGTTTGGGTGGGAAAAGAGAATGGAGGAAGTTGACATGGATGGGCGGGGCCGTGGGGGGGGCTGACCAGGAACCCAGCTTCCTGCTCAGTGCCCAGGCATCCATCCCCCAGCTCACCCCCACCCCTTCCAGCCCCCACTCCCCTCAGGAACCCAAGGTTCCGGCCCTCCTCCCAAATCCCAGTCACCCCTCCCCCATCAGTTTCTCCCCGAAAGGGGATGGAGGCTGAGAGACCCCAGGAAGAAGATGGTGAGCAGGTGAGCTGGGCACTAAGTGGGGAGGCTAACTCTGTCGAGAGAGAAATGCAAGGACCCAGAGTAAAGATCTAGTGACGGTGGACCTAAAGGACTTGAAAAGGCTTGGGCACCCTAAGGCAGGAACAGAAACACAGGAAATGGGACACTGACCTATCCCTCTGCCCACCCTACTCCCTCCACCTACCGGGGCTTGACTGGAATGTATGTCTCTTGGCATCAGGGACCCCCTGAAGAAGAGCTGGGCTGGCCCCCTCTGAACTCCACCATTCGGCCTTGGCGATCTGCTCCTCCATCCCCTCCTCCTGGAACCCGCCACACAGGTACCCCAACGCACCCAGGGAACCCCCTGACCCTGGTGCCCACATTCTGACTCCATCCCTACCTCTCCAGACTCCCCATCACACCCCCATGGCTCTGACCCAAAGTCCCTAGTCACTTCACCCTCTCACCATCCCCCACTGCTCCAATCCACCAACTTCTCTGGGTCTCTGAGCCCTCCTCCCTCCTCTCCCCAGCCATGGGGCCCCGTTCGGCCTCCCTGCTTTCCCTGCAGACTGAACTCCTTCTGGACCTGGTGGCTGAGGCCCAGTCCCGCCGCTTAGAGGAGCAGAGGGCCACCTTCCGAGCCCCTCAGAATCCTTCAAGCCTAGCTCCAGTCCCACCTCGGCCTCTCGAGGACAGAGAGCAGCTCTACAGCACCATCCTCAGTCACCAGGTAAGACACCCCCAGAAGGTCTGGTCTCTTGGCCCCTGTTCTGTTAGGATCTACTCCTCTTTGTCCCTAGACATCTGCCCCATACCCAGTCCCCAGTCCCCCCATCCCCATCATAGGCTTCCGATCTGCTCCCCCGACCCCACCAAGCCAGCCTTTGCTCCTCTCAAGGATACCTACCCCCCAGTCTTTACCAATGCTTTCTCCCTCCACTCCTCCAGTGCCAGCGCATGGAAGCCCAGCGATCAGAGCCTCCCCTCCCACCAGGGGGGCAAGAGCTCCTGGAGTTGCTGCTGAGAGTTCAGGGTGGGGGTCGAATGGAGGAGCAAAGATCCCGGCCCCCCACACACACCTGCTGAGACTTGAGTCTCCAACTAGCCCCTCCTTCCTCCTGGGGCTCAAAGCTGGGCAGCCAATGTATGCCCTCAACCTTGCCTGGCATGGGTACCAGAGACTGGAAGACCCAGCAGAAATTACAGTGATCACCACCCTCAGCACCTTCCCTGGGAACTGGAGGGGGTGAAAGTCCTCAAATCCTGGGAATAGGCAAGGTAGGATGGTCATTGAACTTCCTCAAGTATTCTGGAGCTTGAGGCTGTAAGAGGATCCCAGCCATCAATCTCAGGCAGTAACTGGGAGTCCCTGTCCTGAGCTATCCAGCTACTAGGCAGGGTGTGAGGGCTCAGGCCTTTCCCTCTCAAGGCAAGTCTCCTAAGGTTATCACTTGATAGACAGCTCTACCCTCCTTCCCCATAGGAAGAAAGGGAGGGTGGGCACAGTATAGAAAGATCAAGAGTATTTTCTCATCCCTGCCTTGAGCACCATCTAGCACCCAATACAGAGGGCCTAGCAGCTGTGAATGGACCTTTAGCCTGCCCACCCTCCCTCCCCACTGCTGCTGAGTTTGTCTGATGTTTTGATTGTATAAATAAATGTAATTCCCCTCTGGACTGAAGATTGATGTCTGCGGGGTGGGAGGGTGGAGAATAGGAAGGTGAGGCCAGAGGCGGCCTCTTTCCCCAGTCTGGCCAGAGGCCAGCTCCCCTCCCTAGCTGGTTAATTACTGGCTCATTAAGCAGCGGCTGGAGACCTCCCTAATTATCTCCCCCAGCCCCCCTCTCCTGGTTTTAATTAAGTAGAACAGGGAGGGGAGTCATTAGAACAAGAAATATGAACTGAGCTGCCTGTGAACCCGGGCATTCCAGCGGCTAGAGTCGGTGTCACCTAGGGTGGAGACTCAGAACCCAGGAGGTGGACACCCCAGCCCCCAGCACGCCCCCCTCCCCGGCCACGGAAGTCCAGCCCCCGGGCCTTCCCTTAGTGCCCCGAAGTGCCAGTCTCCTCCCCTCGTCCCGTCTTCCCTCTCCCCTCCTCCACTCGGTCTCAGTTCCTCTGTTTCAGTGTGTCTCTCTCCGCCCCCGGCTCCTCCCTGTTCCTCCTCTCTTCTCCCCTCCTCTTCCTCCCGGGTTCCCCTCCCCCAGCCTCGCTCCCTCGCTCCCCCCTTCTCCCTCCTCCCTCCTCCCTCTCTCTCACACACACCCCCGCTTGGGCCTCCTCTCTCTCTCCGGCTCCATTTTCTCCGCCGCCGGGGGCCGGGGTCTCCTGTGGGGGGCCCAGCCGGTACCCCAGCTCTCCCTTCAGTGCCGGGGTGAACCCCCGGGGGAGCGAGGAGGGGGGGAGACGGGCGGGGGTTGGGGCGGAGGGAGCAGCGGCCCCAGCGAGTTTGGGGGGGAAGTAACCAGGCGGGGGGAGGGGCGGAGCAGGGAGGGGGCCTCAGGGCCCCCCCCCAGCTATGGACGAGCGGCTACTGGGGCCGCCCCCTCCAGGCGGAGGCCGGGGGGGCCTGGGATTGGTGGGTGGGGAACCTGGGGGCCCTGGCGAGCCTCCCGGTGGCGGAGACCCCGGTGGGGGTAGCGGGGGGGTCCCGGGAGGCCGAGGGAAGCAAGACATCGGGGACATTCTGCAGCAGATAATGACCATCACCGACCAGAGCCTGGACGAGGCCCAGGCCAAGTGAGTGCCCCCACCCCGGGACCCCACACAGACCCACAGGACCCCATTCACAAGCTGAGTCTTCTGGGAGCCCCCCCCCCCAACTTCAGGGCCCTCTCAGGATCCTACAGCTCTCTTCTCTCCCTTAGCCTGGGATCCCTGAGCGAAGTGATCTCTTTCAAAACCTCCTTTCACCCCCAGGCCCTGAAACCTCCAGAGGGAAGCCCAGGTGGTCTCCCCCTCCTAACCTTTTGCTGACCCCCCACACTCATCCCTTTTCATCTCCGGAGCCCCCTTCTGGCTCCCAGACTCACAAACTGTTCTTAGACCATGCTGTTTCCTCCCCTAACTCTCCACCCAGCCTGCCCCATTCTCTCCAGATCTGGGACCTCAACACCCCTTCCCAAAAGTCCTGACAGTCCTCTCCAACCCGTGGCCCCAGCCTCCAAGGGTCCTCACCTACCCTTCTCCCTCCCTTAGCCCCAGGACCTTTCTAGATACCTTATACCGAACTCCTCCCTTACCTGGGCACCCCCAACCCTCTCTGCCACCTCAAAATTCTGATCCTTCTCCCCTTTAGCATCCATCCTTTTTTCTGAAATCTACCTAGTCACTCTCATTTTTCCAGTTTCCCCCAAATCCCTTCTTCACAGCTTTTCGTGACCAACTCCCAAAGTCCCCAGCCCACCATGGTGCCTTTTGCCTTCTGCCAATATCTGCTAATAAGCTGAATAGCTTTCCCATGTTCGGAAGCTGATTGCTACCCAGGAACCATCCCCCAACTCTGCTTTCTTCCTCTGCAGATTTCCTCTTCTCTCTCCTTGCCCTCTCACACTGCTATGGTTCCCTTGCTGTTTAGCTCCTCAACTTTTCTTTCTCTACTCCCATTCTTCCTAAGGAAACACGCCCTAAACTGCCACAGAATGAAGCCTGCTCTCTTTAGTGTCCTGTGTGAAATCAAGGAAAAAACTGGTATGTGGGGGTCTCCCTCTTGAATCCTCAACTCTGGGGACAGCCATGTTTACTATGGGGCTGAGTTTGACAACTTGGGACCCTGAGGAAAGGTATTGCTAAGAGAGACTGGGGAAGGAACCAAAGCCTGTAGACTTGGGTTTACAGGAGGCAACAGGAAGACTGAACTTTGGGTAAGGGGTGTCGTGTCCCTAAGTCTACTTACCTGCATGCTAGGCCTCAGCATTCGAAGCTCCCAAGAGGAGGAGCCAGTAGACCCACAGCTGATGCGCTTGGACAACATGCTTCTGGCAGAGGGTGTGGCTGGGCCTGAGAAGGGGGGAGGCTCAGCTGCAGCCGCTGCAGCCGCAGCAGCCTCTGGGGGTGGTGTGTCCCCTGACAATTCCATCGAACACTCGGACTATCGAAGCAAGCTTGCCCAGATCCGCCACATCTACCACTCAGAGCTGGAGAAGTATGAGCAGGTGAGGAGAGGAAGCTAGGGTGGGTGGAGGAGGCAGCTCTTTGGAGGGAATACTAAAGCCAAAGAGCTTCTCACCAGCCCACCTGTTCCCCACTACAGGCATGTAACGAGTTTACAACCCATGTCATGAACCTGCTGAGGGAGCAGAGCCGCACGCGGCCCGTAGCACCCAAGGAAATGGAGCGCATGGTGAGCATCATTCATCGAAAGTTCAGCGCCATCCAGATGCAGCTCAAGCAGAGTACCTGTGAGGCCGTCATGATCCTTCGTTCCCGTTTCTTGGATGCCAGGTGGGGACCAAGGACTAAGACCAGCCCCCAGTACCAGGCTCTTTCCCATTTCTCTCCAAGACCCTGAGCCACCATGTTGCATAACATGGTACTCCACACAATGATGCCCCCTAGAGTCCCACAGTATGGCTGCCAGGATGCTAACATCCTCACTACTCTTCTCCATCCTTTGTAGACGGAAACGCCGTAACTTCAGCAAACAGGCCACTGAAGTCCTAAATGAGTATTTCTACTCCCACCTGAGTAACCCATATCCTAGTGAAGAGGCTAAGGAGGAGCTTGCCAAGAAGTGTGGCATCACTGTCTCTCAGGTAATGTGGGAGTTTGGGAAGGAGTCTTTGGGCAGAAAGCTCTCAGATCCTACTCAATGAGGGGTTTCCACCTGACTCTCTTTGCCCACCATCCCACAGGTCTCCAATTGGTTTGGTAATAAGCGAATTCGGTATAAGAAAAATATTGGAAAATTCCAAGAAGAGGCAAACATCTACGCTGTCAAGACTGCCGTATCAGTCACCCAAGGGGGCCACAGCCGCACAAGCTCCCCAACACCCCCTTCCTCTGCAGGTGGAGCTCACTGCCACCCTGGCTGTTTTACATACTTCCTGCTTTTGTTCCCACTTCCTATCTAGGCATGATCCTATCAGAGAATTTTGGGGGTTGAGAGGGACCAAGCTGAAATGGGGTGGTAATGTCAGTGGACATAGGCCATTCCAATGAAGTTGCTTCAGCCTTTCTTCCAGTGGGTGGCCAGGGAAGGCTTTGGAATCTATTCTGAGTGCTGGAATGTTGTTTTGTGGATAATTTGTATACAGCTATACATATGTCCCTACAGAGCTAATTTAGAGGGCTTTCTGGAACCTGAGAGTTGTGTTCATCTCCTGTCTGCCACCACAGACTCCATTATACTCTTCTCTAATTCCCTCTTTACTCCTCCAAGGCTCTGGCGGTTCTTTCAATCTCTCAGGATCCGGAGACATGTTTCTGGGGATGCCTGGGCTCAACGGAGATTCCTATTCTGCTTCCCAGGTCAGGTGCCCTATCTCCTTGAGTGGGACTTTCCCAAACTCTTGTTTCTCCTCTTTAGGGTACAAGACATCCTCTGAGGCTTCTTTTCACTGTTTTACCTTCCTCTGCTGCCTGCAGGTGGAATCACTCCGACACTCCATGGGGCCAGGAGGCTATGGGGATAACCTTGGAGGAGGCCAGATGTACAGCCCTCGGGAAATGAGGGTGAGTGGATACTCAACTCGCTCTCGCTCGCTCTTACCATGTTGGGAGGGCCTTTCCCCAAGCAATGTTGTCCACCCCACCTCCACAGAATTTTCCAGGACCCTATTACTACTGTCTTTCTCCCTTTTTCCAGGCAAATGGCGGCTGGCAGGAAGCTGTGACCCCATCTTCAGTGACATCCCCCACAGAGGGACCAGGGAGTGTTCACTCTGACACCTCCAACTGATCTTGCCCCTCAGGATCATGGGGGGGTGGGGGCTCTCATAAGGCGACTCTTGAAGAGGACGCAGGCATCCAGAGGACAAACCCCTAACAGGAGAAGCACAAGAAAGAGAAGGGCGAATGGGGTCAACCCTCCCCAATTAGACTCTCAGTGCTGGGGGTGCTGACTACATGGCAGGGAGAATGGGGCCCTTTAGGGGAGTGGGGTCTATCTCCTCCTTTTTTCCTTTTTTGTCTTTTCCCCCTTTTCTCTTACACAGCAAATCAGACACCTATTTCTCAGACCCCTTTTTCTCACCCCCGCCATACACACTCACATACAACTATTCTGTTTCTGTGTACTCCCCCACTTACCCTCCCCACCCTGCTAATATGCTCTGGAATCTGGAGATGTCAGCCCTGCCCGACCCAGAGATGCCAAAAATGGGGACTCGACTTCTGGACAAATGACATGGGCCACGCCCCCTGTGCATCCCCACCCCCTTCCCCTCCAGACGGCTTTATTACCTCATATGCAGCTCATCTTAAACCAATAGAATCGCTCGGTGGACGAGAGTGTCTGACTCAGATATCTACCTCGGAGGGAGTTTCTGCTACTTTAGGGAATTGTTGACTGGGCTTTGGGATTTTTTTTGTTGTTTTTTGTTTTTAAAGAAACGAAACCCTGGGATCCATCTGTATCGTCTTTTATTTTTATTTTTTGGTGGTGGTGGTGGTGGCTCTTAATTTTTTAGTATGGGGAAGTAGTTTTGTTTTCTTTTTTAAAATAAACATACTTTTTTAATATAATTTCTTGCTTTCCCATATTAGAGGTGATAGCCAAAGGGGTCTCCATAAGAGGGGAACCAACAATACTAGTGAAGAAGCCCAACTGGCTCTATGCCTGTTCATCAGAAAGTGAATTTTACAGAACACCAAGCCCTTCCCTCTAAAATCACTTAGGTGTTCTTTGCTTATGCAGGCAGTTTCTGTTGTATTTGGAGCAGAGGCAGTAAGGGGTTTGCCTTGCTGGCCCCCTATATCCAACCCCCTTCCCACAACCCTTGGGCAGGCTAAACTCAACAATTGAAGAAATTGAAGTTGCCACCTTCCCCATGTGACACATCTTTTAATTAAATCTTTTTTTTTTTTTTCTTTAATTGTCATTTGCAGATTGGAGGATAAAGAACAGAGAGGGGATTCTTGTTAAATATGGGTTGGGTGCTTATATATGTATTTCCCTCAGTTTCCCCAAAAATGAGGTATCTTTTTTTCTCACCAAAATTAAGGGGGTGGGGAGAGGTGGGAGGTTGCAAAAATCCAGGTATGGGGGAAGAAAAAACACTGTCCCATCCTTGGCCCTGAATCCTACTATCGAATCCCCTCAAACATCCTCAGGATTTTACAAGACTGTCAAGAGTGGGGAACCCCTCCCATTAAAGATCCTAGCAGGATTGGGGAACAGGTTGGGAGTGTGATGGGTGGGGGGTGGGAGGCACGGGGCCAGGGGCAGTTCTCTCCTCACTTGTAAACTTGTAGTTTCACAGAAAAGAAAAACAATTCAGTTTTAAATAAAGAAATTTCTTTTTTCCCTGGGTTTAGTTGAGAATTTTTTTTCAAAAAATGAAAGACCCTAGAAGAAAAAATTTTTCTCTCAAAGCCCCAATAGATTTCTTCCCAGTCCCCTACCCTGTTCCTCATCATTCAGGCCCCAAGTCCATCCCTGGAGACAACAGCTGAACCCTGTTGCTTAGCAACCATGCCTAGTCAAAATGGGGCTCCAGGCAGCCCTCAGCAAAGGAATGATGGAATATGAATGCAGTGGGGGGGGGGGGGGGGCTCTAAGAGAATGAGACCTTAAGAGGTACACTCCTCACCCCCAGGGAAGTGGTTGTGTCCAGAGTTGGCAGTGCCCAAGGGTGAGGTAAGAACTGCTGCTTCTAGCACCTGAAGGACTCTTGTTCAAGAAGCATGAATTCCTAGCATTCCCTGCAAAGGGACAAGACTGGGAGATGGGGGCAGGGGAGAGGGTGCAAGCCCCACCCAGGGCGGTGACCACTAAAGGGAAAGGGACAGACAGGAGCCTAGGAAAGAAGCAGGATGGCAGCAGGGGCAACGGCTGGAACCTGGTTGCTGGTCCTCAGTCTATGGGGTGAGCCATTCCCTGCCCCCAATGATTCTCCCTGGAGAAAACACTTTGCCCATAATTTCCCTGGAATTTTTCTAGATCTTGGACACTTGCTTTCAAGTTCTTAACCCACGCTCCCCTAATTTCATTAGCCTATCTCCCTTCCTGCCCCTTCTACCTCAGTGCTGTTTCCCAGGGGCAGTAGTAGGCAGTCAAAATATCACAGCCCGGATTGGAGAGCCATTGGTGCTGAACTGTAAGGGCGCCCCCAAGAAACCACCCCAGCAGCTGGAATGGAAACTGGTAAGCAGGGCCCTGTCCCAATTTTCATAGAGACCTGTGATAGCTTGCATCCCCATCACTGTTCGATCAGACTTTCCCAGAGAACTGGCATTGCTCAGGCCCTTCTCTGTCTCCAGAATACAGGCCGGACAGAGGCTTGGAAGATCCTGTCTCCCCAGGGAAGCCCCTGGGATAGTGTGGCTCGTGTCCTCCCCAATGGCTCCCTCCTCCTTCCAGCAATTGGGATCCAGGATGAGGGGACTTTCCGGTGCCGGGCAACAAACAGGCATGGAAAGGAGACCAAGTCCAACTACCGGGTCCGAGTCTACCGTAAGGGTTCCAGGGCCTTGCCCAAGGCCCACTTCTCATCTAAGAAAAAGCTTTCACTCCCAGCCCTTGACTTCTTGGCCCTGGTGTGTGAGGACCTCTGACTTCACTACCTACATTATCACACCTGGAGAATGGGAACCTTCAAAGCTGCAGCCTCTGACTGGACTTTTCCCTCCTGCAGAAATTCCTGGGAAGCCAGAAATTATAGATCCTGCTTCTGAACTCATGGCCGGTGTCCCAAATAAGGTAGTGGAAAGAAGCAGGAGAAGCAGAAAGTGGTGCTGTGAATGTGGTTATGTACTGTATGAATATATCTCACATTTTCAGTGATGAGGTTACCACTCTTTATTCAGGTGGGGACATGTGTGTCCGAGGGAAGTTACCCTGAGGGAACTCTTAGCTGGCACTTAGATGGGAAACCCCTGATACCTGATGGAAAAGGTGAGTCCCCAGGTGCACACCCCCCTGCCCCACAGCTTCCTTCTTCTTGGATCAATATCTCCCACCTGGATGTCTTCTCTTGTCCTCCCTCCCATAGGAGTGTCTGTGAAGGAACAGATCAGGAGAAACCCTGAGACAGGGCTCTTCACACTCCAGTCAGAACTGATGGTGACCCCAGCCCGGGGTGGAAATGCCCACCCCACCTTCTCCTGTAGCTTCAGCCCAGGCATTCCCAGGCGCCGGGCCTTGAACACAGCCCCCATCCAGCCCAGTGTCTGGGGTGAGCAGATGGGGAGAGCCCCAAGTTCCAGTGAACATGTTCTGGAAGTATGGTCCTCCCGGAGGCAGGGGTCAAGCCCACACTCACCATGACCACTCCCAGGTGTTAACACTCAACCTCGTGCCCCTTCCTGCCCTCAGAGCCTGTGCCTCTGGAGGAAGTTCGATTGGTGGTGGAACCAGAAGGGGGAGCAGTAGTTCGTGGTGGGACCGTGACCCTGACCTGTGAAGCCCCTGCTCAGCCCCCTCCTCAAATTCACTGGGTGAAGGATGTGAGTGACCAGGGGGAGCTGGGAGGTAGAGTGGCAACTAGAAGAAGTAACTGGCAATTGGAAGAAGGGCAGAGGGCTAATGGAGGAAAGGTGGGCAAGGAGCTGCGAAAGAAGACACGGTATCTTAGGCAGTGGAGACATGTGGATGGGGATTTTGTAATAGCCTAGTGTCCCCCTTCCTCCACCAGGGCATGCCCCTGCCCCTTCCCCCTAGCCCCATCCTGCTCCTCCCTGAGGTAGGGCCTCAGGACCAGGGGACTTACAGTTGCGTTGCTACACATCCCAGCCATGGGTCCCAGGAAAGCCCTGCTATCAGCATCAGCATTACAGGTAAGACCATTTCCCAAATTCCTGAGACCCTGGGCCTGGGATGAGGGACATAGTAGGCTCCAACTCTCTATCCCTTCTGGCATTATCCCCAAGAGCCATCCTACCCCACCCTCAATGCACCCACACCCAGGTCTCTGCCCCACCCAAATCCTGCCAAGAGAACAGCCCAGCCTCTCTCCTCTGAACCAGAGGGAAAGACTCCACTGTCGCTCCCACCAAACAGTCCTTTCCCAAACTGAAGTCTTTCCTTCTGACTTGCCCCAACTTTTTCTTCCAGAAACTGGCGAGGAGGGGCCAACCACAGGTGAGGGATTAATTGGAACAGAGTCAGAGAAAAGCAGACAGTCCCTTCCACATGGACTGGGGAGATAGTCAACAAGAAAGGAATAGTGGGAGGACAGCAGAATAGAATAGACAATATGATTGATGTATGTACATTCCATGTATGTATTATATGTCGAAATACATTCTGCTGTCATGTATGACTAAAAAAAAATAAAAATAAATCATGTGGTTAAAAAAAAAAAAAAAAAAAAGGAATAGTGGGGCTGGGGTTGTAGCTCAGTGGTAGAATGCTTGCCTAGCATGTGTGAGGCCCTGGGTTAGGTCCTCAGCACCGCATAAAGATAAATAAATAAATAAAATAAAGGTATTGTGTCTCATCTACAACTAAAAAATAAGAAAGAAAGAAAGAAAGAAAGAAAGGAAGGAATGGTAAAAAGTGAAGGCTGTGCCCTCAATTTTCTCCATCTCCTTACAGGATCTGTGGGAGGATCAGGGCTGGGAACTCTAGCCCTAGCTCTGGGGATCCTGGGAGGCCTAGGGATAACTGCCCTCCTCATTGGGATCATCATGTGGAGAAGGAGGCGACGCCAAGGAGAGGAGAGGTGAGTGAAGAAAGCCAGATGCCTCAGATTTAGGGCTTCCAGGCAGCCAGTGAGGGGTGTGGGGGATGGAACAATGGAGAGCTAGGAGCCATATGTGGAATTCTCCCCAATCCTCCTTAGGAAGGCCCCAGAAAACCAGGAGGAAGAGGAAGAACGTGCAGAGTTAAATCAGTCAGAGGAGCCGGAGGCAGCCGAAAGTGGAACAGGAGGGTCTTAAGGGGACCCCAGTCAGATCCTGTCCTTCAGTTCCCTTGCTTTTTTCCCTTGAACTGTGCTGGCCCTAAACCCCGTACAATCTCTACCCCACCTCAACACACTTTCTTCCACAACCAGAGCCCTCCACAAACCATGCTGAATAAACACCTGATACATCTTGCCCATACTGTTGTGTCTTCTGTTTATGTGTGTGTGTGTATGTGTGTGTGACAGAGAAAGAGAGAGTGTGAAGGGGTTGGGGGAGGGACTTATCCCCTGCACCTTGAGAGCCCTGAAGGAGGCTTCCACATTGCTCTCACTATACCAAATATCTATTTAAGTTAGGGTGAAGAGGCTTCTCTCCTGGAAGGAAGAAGAGAAGGAAGAACTTGGGAAGAGTTCCCATCAATATATTTTACCTTTTTTATTGAACTTGTAATAAAGGAGGTAGTGGGGGCGGGGTGGTTGTTTAAAGTCAAAACTCATATTAGGCACTGGGGAGAGAAAAATTAAATTAAATCAACAAGAGGAAAGTCAGAGGGAGCCTTGCCCACCTTTCAACATCAAATCAAGAAATCAGGGGAAGCAAAACATTAGGTGAGAGGAAAAAGGGCACTCTTTTCAGTCTGCCCTCCTTCCACAGGGCTGGGAGTTACTACCCAGCAAGGGAGTGAGAGAGTTCAGAGGCGGGTCTCTCATCCTATGCACAGTTGTTGCTGCTCCTTCCCATGCCCTCCTGGAGAGTGGCCTCAGCCAACAGAAATTGAGGGGTCAGGGAATGGGGTTCCAGAAGTAAGGAAGGGTCAGCAGGGACCCCCAATACTGATTCTCCTCTGGCTGGAGGTGGGCAGGAAGAAGACATAGCTCAAATACTGAGCAGCCAGAAAAAGAAGAAAATGGCGAGAAACAGGAAGAGGGAATCCTGCCAGCTGGAGGCCGGGTGACCCTGTCCCAGATCCACACCTGTGGGAGAAAGGAAAGCTGCAGAAGCACATACTCCTAGGCCACGAGGGAACCTGGTGGGGGTGGGGGGTGGTTGAGGGGATTCCCTGAGAAGAGCTAAGGGAAGACTCTTACCTGCACCCCTGCGGAAAGGCTCATGAGCATTGAAGACAGTGGTGAAAAAGCCAAAGGGAAAAGCACCAACACCAAATGAGAAGTGAAAACCCCCGGTATCACCAAATGGCTGGAATCCCTAGGGAAGAGACAAAGTCAGGGGAACAAGGCATATCTTTGGCAAGGAAGGGACACAACTGGACAAGAAGACTCACCCCTCTGCTCTCTGGAGCTGGTCGCTGGCCCTGGGGGCGGGGTGGAGTTTTCAATCTGAGGGTGAGAAGAGAAGACTGTCAAGAGGGATCTTTTCCTCTCTTCTTTGACATCCTCTTCCTGGGACAGAAGCCTTCATCCTTGCCTCAACACTACCTCTAGTCTCTCACCTGGGATC